GCATACAATATTTTTGTGCTTTTGTTTTGGTTCTCGTTTCCAAAACGCGAGCGACAGAGAGAGCGAGCGAGAGAGAGAGACGGCCGGAGGGAGCTTTGGGAAACGCCTTTCAATCCTTCTGCTGTGTGCTCGCAGCGCCGCCGTGCCTGAGTCATCAACCCGTACCATATCCGAGCAGACGCCTGTTGCTTTTGCAACCTCAACTGTACTTGAAATGCCGACGCTATAAATTAAAATTATGTTGTAAGCACACAACACACGCACACGCACACGCACACTCAGGCACAAGAAGAATAAGATGACAAGAGACGAAGCTTTGGCATCGTCGGCTTCGGCTTCGTAGTCCGGTTCGTGGGCAACAACAAAAAACCAAAAAAGAAAGAAGGGAAGCAGCACACACACGCACATGTTTGTATGCACACAAACGACGAAGAGCAAAAGCAAAACAAGAAGCAAGAGTAAACACAGACCGAAGTCGGCGCATTCATACACTATCCCACCGACTGCAGGCCACAACAAGCCTAAAAGTGGAGTAGCACAAACGTTTCTCCAGCGGTATTGATGTTCTTATGGATCATTTTATGGTATTTCTGGTTATGGAATATACAATTTGTATGCCATTTCCATCTAGATAAGTGAAGTAAAACCAAATGAACGCTTAAACACATAAGCTCTGGTCAGTTTTAGGGTAAAACAAGCAGAAGCAAATCGAAAGGAACAAGACGACAACGACGGCTGCTAGCGAGTCTTGCTGAAAATTGCAGCTTGCAACATTAACATGTTTTATGTGCCAAAGATCCGAGTCAAGGAGTCGCAGGCTGATGCTATGCCTGTGTGCTGAGTCAATCCAATCCAAGACCAACCGAACTGAACTGATCTGAACCGAGACGAGCCGAGACGAGCCGAGCCGAGCCGTGCGGAGCGGACAGTCGGCGTCGCCTCATCAGAGTATAACAGCTATTTAGTCGCGACGGCGGCGTTGAGGCTGAGAATGGGATAATGGGCAGAACTTTTCCCTTTTGTGTCATCTCTCTCTTGTTTTGATTTTATAGAGGAAGTTGGTCCAGGAAGGAAGTCGCGCCTGTTCCTCATTCAGTTTGTACAAAAGACTGAAGACTGAAGTCTGAACTTTCAATCAGAATGAATGCAAATGAAGGCAAATATTTTATTGAGCAGAATGTAGAGTGGAGTGGTTGTCTCCCTGCAGTTCATGCAGTTTCATGTGTCTAGAATCTCTTCCATGTGTTGGCAATAATTTCGTTTCCTCTTTTTTATTATTGTTCGTCAGGCATGCTCTCTCTCTCTCTCTCTCTCTTAGTGACAGAAGCAGACTCTTAATTGCTTTATTTTTCAGGCACCCGAATCTTTAGCTGTAACTGGCAGAAGCGATCCTTTTCCTTATTTATTTCGAACAAATGACAGCCGAAAGTGCTGTCCAAGTATCCACTTACAAGGCATTCAAATTCCATTGCAGTTGTTTACGTTATTTTGCCCAGACTCATTGAAAAGTCACAGATGATTTGATTTTGCTCCTGACATGTGTGGATCGTTTCGGGTGTAGGCATCGAAAGAAATGCGACTTTTGTATGAGCTGTAAACATGGAAGACAATTGCAAAAGGATGCATATCGAAGTATCTGCAATAATAAGGATATTTTCAAAGAGTAGAGCAATTTTGCAAAATATCTTAACTAAATAAAGTCTAGTCTGGAAACCTTTGAGAGACACACCCTTACCAGGCAATTAAAGCATTTCCAATGGCAATAAGGACGGGACCTCCAGGGGGCTCCACCATAGCCAGAATAAAGAAGAGACAACAAGACAACATGACATGAAAATGCACAAATTTATATGTAAACGATTGAAAGTCTGATCAACATATACATATAATTACATTACAGCGCAGAGAACAAACTGAAATTTTCCATGGGTAACGTGTGAACCGGGAAACTGGAACGGGAACGGGAACGGGAATGGGAATGGGATCGTGTGTGTTCGTGTCTGTGTTTTTGGGAGTGGGGGGGAGAGACCCTGAGTTAAGTCGAGATAGCATGGGGAAGGGAAACCGTTGACAACAATTCAAAGATTATGAAAATCTTTGGTCATTGGGTTAGGGCATAAAGAAACCCGACTAAAACAATGAGTAGCCAAAGTTACAAGAGTTCAAGCGATGCAGCCACAGCCGGTTGGGCAAAGGAGATGGACAGGAGCAGGGGATGGGTTTATTTTCATATTAACATAATCAATGAAGTTTTTTCTAAGGGTTCAACTAAGTATCTAAGGCAAAGAGGAATGACAGCACACACACAGACACATACCATTACTCGGTTGAAATACTTCAATGCACTTACGGAAAATCTCCAATCAGCAGCCACGACCCCCTACTGATGAGAGAGTTTTGATTTTGTACGGCAATGGGCACACACAACTGCACAACATGTGAGTTTGTCTTTAAAAGATACAAAAATACAAACGGACGGACGGACGGACAGACGGACGGACGGACGGACGTACAGCGGGACAGACGATCTGAAGTGATATTTGAGTAAAGGCAAAACGAGCGACAAACCCTCAGTGAAGTGGCAAAACCGACGTGAAACGCTTTCCAATGCCTGCACTGCCCTGCCCTGCCCTGCCCTGCCGCGAGCTGGCAAAGGATAATAAACGAACCAGCGAGCGAGCACTAACGCATATCAATTTGCTGCTTTGGCCCGACACGAAGACGAAAACGAAGGAAGCGATTAACGCTAAACACTTGAAATGCCCATGCCCATCCCAACCCAAAAAAAAAAAAGTATACAACAATGAGAATACTTATAAAGAAGTCCCCGTCATTGGGAATGTCTTATCTGCAGGCACATAAAGTGCCAAAAATTATGGCAAAAGGAAATCGTTTCCTTCTCCTCCTCCTCCGCGTACGCCTGTCAATGTCAGGTGCGATCCGCTTAGCTGATCAACGGAGATTGTCCATGGGGACAATGCATGGGCATAGAACATGGTGTAATGAGCATTATAATTGGAATAATTTGGAAATCATTATGCATAGCCCGGTGTTAGGACATCTGCACGGAATTTGATCATTTCTGTCAGCGATCAAGTTCCATTTATTGTATTATCTATTCAAATTTCAAATTTGAGTTCAAAATAAATTATGCCTAAACCCCAAAAGTATGCCATTGATTCTGAGTTTTCACTTAACTTCCAGACTCGCCCGAAGGGGAAAGTCCGAGCAATAGTGGCGCCACCTGTTCGGGCTATCCGGGCGTTCGAGAGAAAGAGGATTGATCCGAAAAGCGGATTGAATTCAGAGCGGAATCACCCACTGCCCCAAAGCAATGAGAGCGCCGACCAGCCTGCTGGGCCATGCCCTTGAATTTGGTTCAAGCAAAAACACCCAGCCCTGAGATGACTGCCTAGCCGGCGCCCATTCCTAGACAGGAGGCAGAGTTGCAGTCCTTTCTCGACCATGGATGTGGGAGAGCCCTGAAGGATCTGGAAATGCATTTAATCCACAAAGTAAATTTGTTTTTTGTTGTATGTTTTGGTGTTATTGGACTTATCTGACAAATGGTAAGCAGAAGCTCTCAAGTGGGGATTTGGTTTCTGCACTGGCTGAGGAGCATACGTTAGCCAAGATGAGAACCTGGAAAACATAAATATACGCAGTTAGACGAAGGTATTGCTTCCCCTACTTACCGCTGGATGGGATTGGAAGGTAGTGTCTCGTAGAAATTTTTGGGTCTGAGTGGCCCGTGGGGACATGAGTCGGGACTCCCCAGCGATGCAGGAAGTGGTGTGGATAAGATGCTGGAACTAGGCGTGATAGAGGCTAGCGATAGTCCGTGGAGCAATCGGACGACCTTCCTGAAAGCGATGAGAAGCGACCGCAGCGAACGTAGTTCTATTCCTGATGCAGGAATGTATTTTACGAGTTCAGTGTGCCAGAGAAGCAGTCTACTCATCGCAAAGCAATGCCGCCAAGAGGGTGAACTGGGCGATGCTGTCTGCAATTAGAACTTATCTAGAGAAGGATCACCGACACTGGGGTATGTACCTACGAGTACAAACAGGGTGGCAGGACAAAATCAATCCGAATACCAAATTCGTTTTATTTGTGGCATTTTTGTACTTGAGCAGTATGTTTTGGTATATTTCTGAGGGTCGCTGTATTTTTTTTGGGCCTAGATGCGGGATATCGATAAATCAGTGAAAAATCAGTTGATTTTTAGTCAATTATCTCAAGTTCAAAATAAATTAAAAAATAAAGAGATATTGCTAATTTTCTCTTTTTACTTTAGCACAGGACTTAGTAGTTTTTCAGTTCTCGGTGTTAGTACTAAATCGGTTGGTGTTCTGGGAAATTTTCCGCTGATCTGAGTAACAAGGAGAAGGCAACAGAGAGAGCGAGAGAAGGCTGAGCATTTTGAAATTAGCGTCGCGCTGGTGGCGCAAATTTGTGGTAGCCGATATATCCATCGCCATGATGGACCGTTAACCGTTAACCGAACCAACAGCGACGGCTAAAATATCGCTAAGAATTGTTGTAGGGGGAAAGCCTATTGGAAGGGATGTTTCTATTTGTGGCTCCTGCAAGGTATATTCATACTTTCTGTGTGATTTATGATTTAATTGAAACAAATTACTTTCAAATTAGGAGAGTACGAACGTACATTTACCAGATACATCTATGAATACATGTATTTGCGTACATATTTTCGTATGTAATAACGTAAAATCTATTTATTTTCCATAAACTATTGCATACATTCCCTCTTTCGTGTATAATCCTTGCTTTGCTGCTCATTTTCTCGTGACTTTTTGTACCCCCTTCCAGTTCCCTTCCCGATATCGTTGTTCTTGCCACTGACTTCCAGCGGGTTGCGGGTTGCTTGCTCGCTGCCATGGCAGCTTTTCCACACAAGAGTGCCGAGAGCGCTTTGCTCTCTCTCTCTATCTCTCTCCCTGTCTATCTGGCTCTCTCTCACTCTCTTGTTAGTTTACTTCGTTTTTCTCGTTTGGGCTGCCTGCCTGCGCGCTGCATTTGACCGCGACTCAGTAGCAAAGGAAAATCCATTTTCCATTTTTCTAGACGCGGACACAGGCTCTGAGTATCGTGTGCGGCGGACGTCCTTGTCCTGCGTGCGTCGTTTGCTCGCGCTGACGGTTTTTGGTGAGCATAATCAAAAATGGGGAAAATAGAGACAACCAGGAAGAAAATGAACAAACAAACTATCCGCTGTCGTAACTGGAACTCTAAAAACTTGCCAATACGCCTCACAAATTCGCCTCAAATCGAATAATAAATAGAAAACTAATCAAATAAAAGCTGTCTACGAAGTGCATTTCGGATTTGTCGTTCCGTTCGTTTTTTTACAGTGTGATACAAGTTTTTTTTTTCTCAACCAATTTTTTTTCCGATATTTTTGTGCGTGTTAAGGTTAAGTGCAACAAAAAAGAAAGAAAAAAGTAAGAATACGTGGAAAACGAAATCGAAATTATTTTTTTTAGCAAATCGCGAGTGTCTTTGACTCTGAAGACGAAAAGGCCATCCACAAAAAGAAGCACAAGCACAAGCAAAAGGGAGAAGAGAAAAGAGGCGAAGCAGCAGCGCAATAAGGCTGAAAAAAAAATACTTTGCCTGCCTGTGTGCAAAAGTGAGTCTGTTCTGTTCAGTTCCGTTATGTTCTGTTCTGTTCTCTGTTCTGTTCTGTTCCGTTAGTTGTGTGCTAGCATTGACAGTGAAAATTGTTGTTGTGAGTTTTTGCGTTGGCAGCCCGCAGCCCGCAGCCAGCAGCCAGCAGCCAGCCCCTTATTACAGTTATGCCTCCGCCTCCACGTCTTTTGATGTGGATGGAGGATGTGTGTCTGGTCTGAGATGTCTTACGTATCCATACATATGCATATCTATGTACACATGTGTGTGTTGTGTGTTATGCGAATGTGTTGATATTAATGTGCGTTCGTGCTTTCAAAATCGTTTTAGTTGCTTCTTTTTTTTTAGCTAAACAATTTGTTTTGCTTGACCCAGGCAAGTACATGGGATCCACAGACACAGACACAGACACACAACTAAACAATATGGTATATAGAGTGTGTTCCGGGAGAAGTTACGAACCAGCTGGTTCATCGATGAACATATGTATGTAGATATGTACACTTATGTATGTATGTACATATATAAATATTTAATAAGCTTTGCAACTATGTACACCCAAGTGTAACAGACAATGTATTGCTTGGTCAATTATTATAAATTCAAATTGGGAAAAGTCAAGCTTGCATACACACACACACACACACACACACACACACACATGCATGCATGCATACAGATACACGGACTAACAAAACTGTGAGAGGAAAAGGACAGAGTGAGAGGTAAGCAGCAGATGATTGCAACAAAAACTGGCAATCAGCACCCCGCACTCAACTCATAGCAACTCCAACAGCCATGTCGTAGGTACAGAGGTCCCTCCACAAAAAGTAAATGTAGATGTGCTCAAAAATTGTTTTGCGCATTTTGGGCTGATGGCTGGGCGGCAAAGGAGGAGACAACTTCTCTCTACTTTCTGTGCCGCCTGAGCAAATGTTGTTCCTGGGTGCGTGCTGCTGATATTGGTGTTGTTGTTGTTGCTGTGCGTTTACTCAAAGCCCGACGTAGACACACACACAAACACAAAATCATCATCAATTACTTAGTACCCCCTGCCACCCCTCTCCCACGCAGGAGAAAAAAAAAAGGAGAAAAACCACGTAGTATGCTATCTGCTGCGCCTATCAAAGCGCTCTCTTTTCGCTCTATGTGTGTGTGTGTGTGTGTGTGTGTGTGTGTGTGTGTGCGTACCAGCTCATACATGCGTACATGTTCGTACAAACAATTCGCCTAGGAACACTTTTCTGTTCTGCTGTTGTGGCTGATACACTGTTACATTTTAGTCCATTATGTAGGTTGTATACAGATCTGCATGTACGGATGTACAGATCTGTATGAACTGATGTATGTATGTACATTCAGCGCTATGAAAACATAGCCCCACGCCTCTCCGGTTGTCCGTTATTGGTATTCAGCTCATCAGGCTTTAGAGAAGAGTTTTAAGATCATTTTAAATACCATTTATGAGGTGTTTTTTTAATGATTATTTTAAATAAATAAATTCATCATGGTTTTGGCGTTTTCGATTAAAATATAACGCCTTCAAAGGCAAATCCTTAACTTTTTAAATATTTATGTAGATCTGGAAGGTTAGAAATCAATCCATAATGGGCTGAAAACCAGTTGCAAGAAGTTTCTTGTTGGGAAACAGTTTTGATTCGATAAACAGACCATGCAAATTGTTGTCAACTTCTCGTATAAGTAATATTTTCAATTATTAATAATATGTACATACATATGTATATGTATACATAATTATTAAGCAACGACTAGCATTGTCTGTCCCAACCTGACAGTAGATTTCACTCTTTATCGTACCTTGATTCATATTTGCACACATCACTGTATGTATTGTTTGGGGTCAGTGATCACAACTAGCAATTATGAATTAAATTGATGCATGGACATACGTTTTTGATAGGCAGTGTAGTTGCCTTGTGCAATTACCTCCTCCAAGCTTTACACCATCCGCCGCTCTCATTCATATCACACATACCCCACTTCCACTTCCACTTCCACTTGCACATCCCCCCCATCTTTGTCCAAACACCATCACCCCACTATTCGCATCGACTTCGACATCGCGGTGTGTTGTTTGGTTGTTTATCTTTGTTCCTTTGTGTGCACACGAACTGTTTTTATTCAGCTTTATAAATGTATGCGTGTGCACACGTTTACGTACATATGCATAAGTTTTGGCCATAAGTTTGTAGGGTTCTCCTCTCTTTTGGTATACAATTGGCCAGGCCGGCCTGACTGGCACTTCTTTGTACTTATTCATTTTGTATTCGTATACCCTTGCCGGCCAGTGGCCTTAATAGTTTGAAAAGGGAGATTTTTGGCAAAAAACATATTCATTTGAAACGAAAGATGCACTGTGCCAGAGGTGGGTGTGTGGTCCTTTTTGCATAGCTAGAAAATACATAATTACATAGGTATGTATGTAAATACATTCTACCTTCTGCCTGCTTTCTCTGCATTAGGAACAAATTTTGTGTCCCGTACATTATTTTTGAATATTCTTGTGGTTTTTTGTGTTTGTAAGCATTTACCATTCTACCAACTGCCGGAGCAGCGGGGTATCCCCCAGTCGAGACGCGGCATATTTGATTTCCAATAAACATTGACGTTTGGTACAACAACAACAAAATAATGTGAATATAGGTTGTCTGAGAGTGTGTAGATACTGCATACAAACGTATCCATATGTATGTACATTCGTATGTGTGTACATACGGCAAAGCATTTACGGCGTAATTACTCACCCACCGCCTGAATTGAGTCGGCCGGACTAATGAACGTATTTGCATGCAAGTACATAAATATGTACATAAAATGTATGAATGTACATATATATTTTATGAACGTTTATTCTGATTACTTTCCAAGACTACAATTCGACTTAAGCTTCTTGGCAAAGTTAGTTTTAACATCTTGTAAGTATAGGCGGATATGGCAAATACTAGTTATGTACATAGCTACATATGTATGCGTTTACATATGTACATACTTATGAAGCTACCGCAAAATGAACAATAGATTGCCCAGTTAGTTAGCCAGCCAGTGAATGTTTAGCTTTCGATAGCTCGTAAAAGATTCGCTTGCGTCCTTTTTGGTTCGAAATCAATCACAATACATTTTGATGTACATAAATCTCTGTGTGTTCAGCCTCCATCTAGGTTTTATTTATTTATTTGCATTCATTTGCGTTTGCCGCTTATTTTCTCACTCTGTGTAGAAGATTAGGATTATTTATTTTTCAAAACTTAATAATTTCGACGCGAAACCAACGAGCACATTCAAAAACACGTACATATATGTACCTATGTACATATAGCTATGTACTCATGGAGAAACGTAAAGACAAAGTGAATACCAAATGCCGAACGCTACAAATCTTTCGTCATGAGCAATTTAAGTTGAAAAGACAAAAGTGTTAAGGATCTGGCAAGCCTTTCCACCTTTTTTTCGATTTAGAATGTTGCAAACCTTTCAGCGAGAAAACACATTCCACCATACATAAATACATATTTTACATACAGATTAATGTATGGAAAGGTTTAACCGCACCCCTCAAACCTTTAGCCAATGGGGATTCTTAGCGTAATTCGCTAACAAAGCTGCTACTAGGGAAAAAGCCACTTAGGCAAGGTCGAGAGTGCCGAGTACATAGCTCTGAATGCAGCAGGGAGGGTAATCGCATCAGCTGTTTGCAGTGCTCGCTAATCAATATCAATTTAATGATAAGCTGCCAGCGCCTTCTATCAAAAAGTTCAGCAGCATGTGGCTTGGTCATATGTTTTGTATGTACATATGTAAATATATGTATGTAAGCTGCAATGGAAAAGTGAAATGCATCTTGAAACGAGTACTACTCGAGGACAAGGGTATGTCTTTGTCTTGGCTCTCCAGTGCACTTGTGCTTAGCATGTACTCGCAGTGATAATCTCTTAAACATGAATTTTGAATGGTATGTACGCTGTTACTTAATTCTCTCTTGTTCTAATCATTAGAGTCTGATCGGAGAGACAATTACAGATCGATTTTGTGATTGTGTTTCTAATGCGATAAGAAATGTGAGAGTAACAGTAGGCTGTAGGCATACATATTTATGCAGGATTCAATGCATAAAAAAGAACAATTCTGAGTCTTCTTTCTGGTTGGAAAATGTCGCAAGTAAAAGTCAAAAGTACGAAAAAGAGAGAGGCACGCATTCATCCTCTCACACAAACACATCCACACACACACACACACACACACACACATACAAACGCAAACATATCTCCCTTAAACACAAACACTGATAAAAATACGGGAAAAAAAATACGCGCTGGCATTTATACGAAATAAAAACAAAACAAACCCAAGGCGAAGCAAATTAATAAACTTCTGCTAACTGTGCAAGTGTATAACGGCAAATGAACAAAAAACCCAGAGGCAGGCAGCCAGCCTGGCAAAAGTCAACAACAACAATAACAAGGACAGTGCAGGGCAGGGCAGGGCAGGGCAATGCTAGGCAGGAAACCTCCCTCGCAAACGGAAACTCATTTGCCAACAGTTTGAAACCAACTTCCGGCCCAGTGACGACGACAACGACAACGACTATGGCTACGGCTACGACGAAGGGCAGCACCCAGGAGCAGCACCGGCGACAAATGCATGACAAAAGTCACATTTAAAAGAGAGACAGAGAGAGAGTTTGTCAGCGAGCAAGAGTGGGAGAGCGTGTGGGAGAGAGGAAGCGGGCAAGCTGCTGGGTGGGTGGTTGGCACTAAGGGGAATGAGCGTGCGAGAGTTAACATAAGGCAGGCAACGACATAACGTAATAAGTAACCGAAAATAAATTCGCGTAGCTCCAGCGTGCCAGTTCGAAGGAGAAATTTAAATTGAAATTTTACTGCTACAGTTACGAGTATTTACTGTTGGCTGCTGGCCCTATAATTCGCCAATAAAACGCTGCGTTAATGCTTTCCCCAAAGCGAAGAGAGTCAACAAATATTGAAAACACACACAGAAAAGCAATAAACAAAACTCTAAGCAGGTGCGAACAGTACCAGCCAGCACCTAGCACAAGTGCATTGGGTATGGCCAATGCTCTCTTTAAGACAGAGTCTCGCACTCTCAAAACGGTCTCAAAAGGGAACCAGAGTTCCTTTCCCATTGCTGTATCATCCGCTGCTCTGCACCGCTAACAGCATTCAGGGGTGTTCCAAGAAGCGAAACAAGATATTCGGGCTTGCTTCAAATCACTAAAATCTGTTTGGGCAATTACTTAGATAGGAGTTACGAAATGTAGCCCTTTGGACCATGCCTCTATATCGTCGTATTTATTAATAAAATGTGTGTGTGTGTGATTCATTGATTGTACTGCTCTCCATCAGCTGAGCAATATATTGCATTGCTTCACTTTCTTTGAAATTGCAGTAGTTTGGCCTTCAGTCAGACGTAGATAAAACTCAGTGGAAACAAAAAAATCGGCCAGAAATAAGATTGATCCAGATAAGTACATACTCGTATGTAGTTGAGTACATAAGCATGTATGTACATATGTATGTACAATGTGCCCCCAATAAGTGACTAATTTTAGCGCTCGAGCGGCTACCAATCTGTGTTCCATTTATTGGTTGTCCCTGAACAGTTACAGGGACAAAGACAAGAAGCTGTCACATCTATTCCTGCCAATTAATAGTTGCGGGGGTGGGGGCGGTGCAGCATTTGAACCCAGTTTTACCTACATATGTACATAGATGCGGCGGCATTAAAGTCGCTGTCAATAGCATCAACATACCGCCCTCGGTCTCGCCCACCCCCCGCCAAAGAGCACACAAATGATTGATTGCCCGATTGATTGACTCATTCAATTATAAACCAGGCCATCTCCAGGTCAGCTTCCCATTCCCGCTGCCGTTCCTGCCGCCTACCGCCTACCTTCGGCTTTTATCGTGGTCCGAGTATATTTTAGATTGCACGACCATGCAACTGCGCCTGCAGCGCCAGTGTCCGCCCACGAATACATTTGCCGTTCTATAAATAGCCCGAACGGGGAGCTTACAGTGCACATACACACACCCATACACATGTACACATAAACGGATTTCTTTACGTCATCTTAAAGTTTGAAGCTAGTGGCTGAGAAGGTAGAGGGATGTAAGATGAAAGATATTCATGAAAGTAAAAGCAGTTTTAGCTACAGGCGACAGGGAGGGGAATCTGCAACAATTGTCAACTTTAGCTGGCATAATTTTAGGTATAATTTGTTGAAGAAATCTCCCGAGTGCCCCTGATCGGAAACAGATCTGATATATGCTAAAGGAAAAGGAAAAGGATAAATATAAGTTTGTATCTGGCTGGGCTGCCTCTAATGCCAAAAGCTGTCTGTTTCTGTGTGTTTTTTTGTTTTTGTTTTGGTTGAGCTTGAGCTTGAGCGCCGCCTTTGCTAGTCGCTCACAAAAGCTATCATTAAAGAGCAGAACAGTGAAGCTGCTGGCAAAGTCGCACGCAAACGGAACGGTGAGGAGAGAAGCGTAGCGAAGAAGAGAGTGGAGCGGTGCGGAGAGAAGCGAAGAAAGAAGAAAAGAGTGGAGCAGTGCGGAGCGGAGAGGTCGATTGGGTCGATGTGGGAAAGTGCGTGTGGTAATGTCAAAATGGTTATATGCACACGGACACGGGCACGGGCACGCAAAAACAAATAAATAAACACGCATACAAACAGAGCAATAGTCACAGAGAGAGAGAGAGAGAGAGAGAGAGGGAGGGAGGGAAAAAAAAAAACTCACTGACAGCCGCCCCCGTGTTTCGTCATTTAATTCCCACTAGCAGGCATCAGGAGCGGCTGCTTGCCTGCCTGGACTGCAGTCTTTGCAAGGCTTTGAGCTTATCCCGACTGATTCAGCTCCCAGCTACGTACATATGTATGGCTCCGATCCGTTGTTAAAAATACATAACGCACATACATACATGCACACATACATATACATACGCAGCGCGCTGTCTCGCTTTGCGTCATTTGCTACGTCAGGAGCCATCATGCTCTTTGGGCTTGTGCTTGGACTTGGGGCTTTGCTTTGTGGTGTGGGGTGTGGGGTGTGGGGTGTGGGGCGTAAATCTCCGACTCCAGTGTGCTTTTCTATTTATAGACACAATCATCAGTTTCGTTTTTGTTGTCTACGTGCATTGCATGTACACACATAATGGTAATGCAATTGCTAAAATGTGTGCATATAAATTGCATATGTATGTCCCGTGTACATATTTGCAGCATAAAGAGTAAATGCATTTACGTTATGGGCAAATCAAGACAGAAACTACGCAGCAAAGTAATGTGCCGTCCCGTTGGTTATTTCTTGATGCGTATTTTGCCGAGAGCAACAGCTGAGTCGGTCCTGCGGCGCTCTGTCAGTGCGACTCTCTTCGGTTCGAGCCGCTCAGTAGGCTTTGGCTGTTCATTTCAACATTATTCTTGACCCGTAGAACACAACAAACAAATACTCAGTTCTGAGTAAGTAAACTCTCGTACATTAGAAAAGCACACGGAAACTAATGCAACGCGCGCGTCGGCCACTCGTACTCGTACCTAAATATACCTAAATTATTATTAATTACACGAATCAAAATACGCACAATGTCAGATCCACAACGAAGCTTTGCCATGTGCGCCGTGTTTGGTGTGTCGGGCCTGTTCTGCGGCGCTTTTGTCCAGCACGAGGTGTCGCTGATGCATCTATTCGATGCAATAAAGCGGGATCCCTATGTGTACCTTCATCGGCACAGGTTTTATTCCATTGTAAGTTAGGGCCTTACCCCATTGTCTTACTCCATTGTCGGGATTGCTGGTAATCTCCCTCGCAGTTCTCCACCTTCAGCACAGATCACGAGGGCAGATTGTGGAATCGCGCACCCGGGCTGAAGGACAAGCTCTGCCAGGAGCTGGTCCCACGGCTGTACAACGCTCTACTGGGGAAGCCACTGGAAGTCGAAGAGAATGCCAGTTCGGTGGCGAATATGCTGGATCTCATCAAGTACGGACTGCCCAGCGCAGAGGGTTTGCTGGTNAAACTACGCAGCAAAGTAATGTGCCGTCCCGTTGGTTATTTCTTGATGCGTATTTTGCCGAGAGCAACAGCTGAGTCGGTCCTGCGGCGCTCTGTCAGTGCGACTCTCTTCGGTTCGAGCCGCTCAGTAGGCTTTGGCTGTTCATTTCAACATTATTCTTGACCCGTAGAACACAACAAACAAATACTCAGTTCTGAGTAAGTAAACTCTCGTACATTAGAAAAGCACACGGAAACTAATGCAACGCGCGCGTCGGCCACTCGTACTCGTACCTAAATATACCTAAATTATTATTAATTACACGAATCAAAATACGCACAATGTCAGATCCACAACGAAGCTTTGCCATGTGCGCCGTGTTTGGTGTGTCGGGCCTGTTCTGCGGCGCTTTTGTCCAGCACGAGGTGTCGCTGATGCATCTATTCGATGCAATAAAGCGGGATCCCTATGTGTACCTTCATCGGCACAGGTTTTATTCCATTGTAAGTTAGGGCCTTACCCCATTGTCTTACTCCATTGTCGGGATTGCTGGTAATCTCCCTCGCAGTTCTCCACCTTCAGCACAGATCACGAGGGCAGATTGTGGAATCGCGCACCCGGGCTGAAGGACAAGCTCTGCCAGGAGCTGGTCCCACGGCTGTACAACGCTCTACTGGGGAAGCCACTGGAAGTCGAAGAGAATGCCAGTTCGGTGGCGAATATGCTGGATCTCATCAAGTACGGACTGCCCAGCGCAGAGGGTTTGCTGGTGCACAGACATTGCATCATGTCGCAGAGCAAAGAGATGAGCAGCGCCAAGTGGATAATCGAGCATTTTCGCTGGACAGACGGGGCAGAGGAGTCTGGCAATGGCAGTGACTTGCAACGCTACAAGGATGTGTTTCTGCTGGGCAATGACGATGGCTCCGCGGCCATGGGCAAGGTGTTCAAGCGGCGCATCTGGCACGAGCTGGAGCACTATGTGACAGCAAAGACGCGGGAATGCGGTTCGGTTTACACCTACACCGGTCCCATCTACATGCCCATGGGCAATGGCAAAATGTGGTGGCTGGAGTGCAAGAAGTTGGACACCACAGCCACGCCCATTCCGACGCACTACTTCAAGGTGCTGATAATGGAGTCACAGCTGTTTGAGACTGAAACTGAAACTGAAGCTGAAACTGGAACTGAGAACCGGCCCACCCTAGAGGCGTACATCATTAAGAACGGTGGCAGAGGTGCTGGCAGCTTTCGCAATCATCGTCACCGCATCGAAGACATCGAACGCTACACAGGCCTCTCCTTCAGCAAGGATCTGCAGCCAGCTGTGCTCCACGATGAGAGCAATGGCACAATCCACATTGATTTCGCTGGCATAAATGATGTTCCAAGTTTAGCTGCAGGCTAATAAAGAATTCAGTTGCAGTTGCCGTTGCCGTTGCCGTTGTTTTCGAAGCTTAATACGATTTCTTGTTGCTGGTTTTCCTCTCTCCCACACACACACTTTTACTTGTGTAATGGCTGCCGTGCAAAGAGACAGAGAGAATGAAGTTTAACGGAATGCGTTTGGATTGCATTGCCGCCTCTCTCTCTCTCTGCCCAAGGTGAATTTACTACTCACCACGCTCAGAGAGATGGCCCTGTGGTTGCAATCAGCTGTTGTCTGCTGGGGGGGCTGTGAAATAGAGAAGCAAATAACTTAAGTAGATGTTAAGTGTCAACTGCAATAGAAAATGTTAATGTCTCTGCTCTTTAATTAATACGTTTTGTATTGCAGGTCTTCAGCTAACACACGCTGAAACAGCGCCCCCATGCAACGAGGCACGAGGTGAAGGCTGGCACTAGAAGGCATCGAACAGCATCCCAAAGCAATCCGCCAGTGCGCGGACTCCATGGCAACCAGCGCCGCGTGAGAGAGAGAGAGAGAGAGAGAAATTCAGAAACAAATTCCACACATAAAGGAAGGAGCTGCCAGGAAGGACTGTGCGGCAGGTGCTTCCCGGAGTGGTGGGTGGTGGTGGCGGCGCCACTTGCAGGCGGTTAGCGGTTGGTGCCACAGCTGTTCGAATCATGAAACATTGTAAGTTCCGCTGCACGAAACTTAAATATAGATCTATAATATATGCCAATTCCTTTGTGTTGTTTGCCAGCAAATGTTTCCATACACAAGGACATGATGGAATTCGGCTAACTGCAGCAAAGAGGACTTACAGCAAACAAAAGCAGCAGCCACAAAGCAGCAAAGAGAATTTCTAAGAAGAATTGCAAGCCAATTTGTGAGGAGGTTAACAAAAAGCGCAATCAAAATTTTCGTAAACCAAAACGCACAACTAACAAAGAGCCTGAGAAACCAATCGCAGGATATATAAATAGCAGCATCAAAAGCATAGAGAACGGAGGCAGGAGGCAGCAGGCAGTGGGCAGTGGGCAGCCATCGTCAGCAGCTTAGCATCGATTCAGCGGTCATGGAACCACACGGCGGTGTGCCACCCGACAAGGAGCGACAGCTGGTGCTCAGGAATACGGCTGCACAGTCGACGGCACTTGTGCCCGTGCCCGTGTCCGTGTCCGTGCCCATTGTGGTCGCTGTGTCCACACCGAGTCCTCAGCAGCAGCAGCAGTCGTCCAGTAGTCAATCCACGCACTTGTCACAGTCCATTAAGCCAACGACACTAAGTCTGCAACCGCATGGAGTGCCGCATGCCACGCAACTATCTCCATCGGTTGCAGCGAACAATAATGCGGCAACAGCGAGTGTGGCGGCAACGAGCAGCGGGAGCGGCAATGCCAATAGCGGCAATAGTCCAGCACTGGCATCCACCGCCACGGCCATATCCGCCACAACGCAGGCAGCGACCGCATTTAGCGGCAGTTCCGTTGGCCATCATCACTTGCCACAACATCACCAGCATTCGCATACGCAGTCGCAATCGCAGTTGCAGTCGCAGTCACAGTCACAGCCAGTGACGCATCAACAGCTGCTGCATGCTCTGCCAGCAGCAACGGCAGCCGGATCAACGGCGACACACCATCAGCATCACAGCAGCATCTCCGGTCAGGGCGGACTGCTCGGCACTGGCAGTGGCCCTGGCAGCGTCAGTGGCAGCGGCAGCAGCAGCCAACAGCAGACCATTGAGAAGCTATCAAGACCCATGGCATTCGATAAGGTAGAGTAGCAGCAAACCCAAATATTCTATCCTCTTTCTATACGTAAATTCCTGTTGCAGATGGAAGTCCTAGTGCGCGAGATGCAGGATCAAGAGCATGGTGTGCCCGTGCGACAACAGAAAATGTTCCTCACATCCATACCCTATGCGTTTATGGGTAAGGCAAACCACTCTCAGCATTTATCCTTATGAAATCCTTCATGCGTTCCCTCCTTTAGGCTACGATCTAATCGAGTGGCTGATGGATCGCTTGCAAATTGAGGAATCGGAGGCATTGAACATTGCCAATCAGCTGTGCTTGCATGGCTACTTCTTTCCGGTGAACGACTCAAAGACGCTGACCGTTAAGGACGATTCATCGCTGTACCGCTTCCAGACACCCTACTACTGGCCATGGCAGCACAAGGCGCCGGATAATGTCGAGTATGCCATTTATTTGGCCAAGCGCTCGCTACGCAATAAGCAGCGGCACGCGCTCGAGGACTACGAGGCGGAGGCATTGTCCTCGCTGCACAAGAATCTGAAGGGGAAATGGGATTTTATATCGATGCAGGCCGAGGAGCAGGTGCGCCTGGCCAAGGAGCGCAAGAAGGGCGATAAGATTGTTGGTGACTCGCAGGAGCGCGCCTATTGGCGTGTACACCGTCCACCGCCGGGGCAGTTTACGCCGCTGGAGCCCTGTCCAGTGCCCTCGCGCGATCGTCAGGGCTTCAAGCCCAACAAAAAAAAGACTGTCGACGATGTGCAGCGCGAGGTCGACTATTTGGGCAAGTCCCTCAACCGTACACGCATGAAGATGTCGCAGGCGTGCGAGTCGCTGGTCTGCTACTCGGAGACATTCAGCGAGTACGACTTCTTTCTGCAGCCGGCGTTGCCCTCGAATCCGTGGGTGACCGAGGACATTGCCTTTTGGCAGCTCAACAACACCTTCGTGGACATTCCCACTGAGAAGCGGGTGAAACGTTGGGCCATTTCGATCGAGGAGCTCGTCTCGGATCCCACAGGCCTCCAAGAGTTTACCACCTTCCTCGAGAAGGAGTATTCGCACGAGAATATTCGCTTCTGGATTGCTGTCAATCGCTTGCGTCGCTCCGCCCACTCTCAGGTGGCACGCAAAGTCAACGAGATCTACGAGTGAGTTATCCATGGCATACATTTCTTTCTTTGTTCCAATAATTATTTGAAAACAATTTTGAACAGAGAATTCCTAAAGCCTGGCGCACCCTGTGAGATCAACATTGATGGCAAAACAATGGAGAGTGTGCTGCGCGGTCTCAAGAATCCGTCACGCTTCACCTTTGACTCGGCCTCGGAGCACATTTATATGTTGCTGCTGAAGAAGGATTGCTATCCACGCTTCATACGCTCGGAGCACTATAAGCGACTGCTGGACACGGGCATTCAGCCGTCGTACAAGAAGCGCTTCTTCAATTTCGGCGGCGTTAGCGGTGCCAAGAAGAAGATGACCGCTGCGCTGTCCAGTCAACCGAATTTGGGTGATGCCGGCTCCAGCAAGGGCTCCAGCAGTGCGGGGCAGGGTGGCGGCTCCATGATGCAGGCACCGCCACCGGGCAATCTGGCACGGCGTCGAGGCAGCGATCGCAGTCTTACGGGCTCGGCACACGAGTTGGCTGTCATTGGGGTGAACAAGGATGCAGGTTCCAAGGTACCGCACTCCCATTCCCAGAGCAATCTCAGCGAGATGCCATTTAGGTAAGCTGGCTCTTAACAGAGTGACCAGAGGGCGAGAGAGAGAGAGAGAGAGAGAGGGAGGGAGAGTTAGCGAGTGGGAAGATTGAGCGAGTGCAGAGATTGGGCGAGTGAGGGTGTGTGGGCGTTGCTTGCATTTTTATTTTTATTTTCAATTACATTTATTTAGCATTTACGTTCGCTTCGATATTTTTGGACAAACATCAAAAAAAAAGGCAATCAAAACAAGGCCCGGATTGGCAACATTTTCACTTGTTTGCTTACATTAACTAATTCATGAATTACTTCATTTATTTGTAATTGATTTGTTTCATTTGTTCATTTACATTTTCTCTGAAACTGAAATGATTATGAGATACAATTATAATATAGAATTATTATGTGTAATGTGTAATTATTATCATGTGTCATTATCATTATTATTATACGTCGTCGTCGTCGTACCACACCACGCACCCCGCGCAGTAGCGATTCCATTTATCGTGGCGATATGCCCCAGCGCCACATGGCGATCATCGATGTTGGGATCTATGCGGCCTACGGGAATCGCGAAAGTAGTTTACAGGCACTTCCGTAAGACATTCTACATACATTTTGTTCTTCTCCATTTGTTTTCTGTTCGTTTTCTTTTGATTTGTTTACTCAAATCGTGTTCTATTTTCACTTGTAACAAACACATCTTGTTCGAAATTCTATTACCCTTACTTATATTATCCACTATAGTGTTTCGCCTCTCCTATTGTATTATCGTTCGAACTGCTGTGAATCCAGAAGCCTGAACCCAGCCCCCAGCCCCAGTCAAAGATCTGTCACTCATTTTTCATTTATTTTTCCTGTTATTTGTTTTGTTCATTTGTCGGTTACGTTTTGTCGTCGCCCTTTCAACCTTTAACTTCTGTAGAATAGGCTCCATTTGCCTCTTAGATGCTTTTTTCACTGAATATTCTTAAGCAACCAGAAGTTTGGGCAACCCCTAAAAGCCATTTGTACTTCGTCGAGAAAACCTTTCGTGCTACTTCGTGACTTCGTTATTGTTTATAGCCAGTTGGCAACTAACTTACTAGTTAAAGGTGGTCGCAGCTGTGAACTTGAACTTGAACTTTTTGCCCTTTATGTTCCTCTGGCTATGTTCTTATCTTATCGTACTTCCCATTGGACCAAAACATCAAAAGCGACAGCTCAAACGAACAAAAAGAAACGCACTCCGATCGCTTCTAGAGTTTGTTTAGAGCATCTATTTATTTTGTTGTTTATTTTGATTAGATGTAAGACAAACCACAAAGTGGATATATATATATATATATTCCAGATCAGCATAGCCAAGTCTGTCTGTCCGTTCTTGCTAGAGCATTTTGTATGCAAAAAGTCTGTGTGTCGCGGCTGCTGCTGCCCGAATTTTTTCACTGGGTGACGCGACTCTTGGTTTTGTTTTTGTTTTTTATTTAATGTTTTCTCTGATGGTTTTACTGCTCGATTGCTGTTTGCTATTTATTGTTAATTATTGTAAATGTTGTTTGGTTTTCGTTTCTTATTCGGATTCTGAGATTCCACTATGCCGCTGCTGCTGTTGTGGCTGCCGCTGCTCTTTTCCTTTCCCCTCCACCGTTTATTGTACACACACACACACACACACACACACACACACACACATGCGTATATGTATATGCTGGCAAAAGCTGTATATAACCTCTCTCTCCATGCATTAATGTTTAATGTTCAATCACAACCCACACACACACACACAGACAAAATACACACAATTATCTCGTATCCGGTTGTGCCACCGTCTACTGTCTGTCTACTGTCTACTGTCTACTGTACTGTACTGTCTCAATGTATTTGAAAAGAAAAAACGTTGCCCATGCCATGAAATTTCGTTAAGACTTTGGTCCGACCCCGGCCATCTTTTTACGTACAGAGAAAACCCCAAGACAAAATCCACCGGCCTGGAGACGCTGGAGACATCCGTTGTGGCAACATTGACCACTGGCAACACCAGCGCCGTTTGTCCCTGGGATGAGCCAGTGGAAATAGTGCCAGCTGCACAGGTCAAGCTCTCCGTCTGTCCCTGGGAGCAGCAGGATACGGCAACAGAAGTGGCACCAGCGCCAGCGCCAGCGCCAGTGCCAGTGCTGGCCAAGCAAGCGGCCGTCACCGTACAACCATTACGATTGACCAGGTGAGTGGATAAAGAGACTTTGGATCGGGCTGGCTAATAAAAAGGAATGTATTATAAATGTTTGCGTAGCACCTCGTCGGACAGCAGTGATGTGGCTGATCGACTGCAACGAAATTTGGGCATACGACACCAAAACACCGTCGACAGTGGCGAGACGAGCAACAAACGTTTGACGCCAAATTTTACGGAACAGCGTCGAGCATCCGTATCATTCACACCCAGGTAGGTGAGACATTTGCCACTGTCTGCTGTGCACTCACTCTCTTACTCTTTCCTCTACGTTTCAGTCGCAGCACGGACTATCAGTTTGGGCGCACCACTGCCACTGGCACTGGCACTGGCACTTCAACGCCCACCGTTGGCAGCCAAAGCGTGACTGCAGCCAGCAATCTGACACCATTGCAGGCACGGAGTGCGGTCTTTGCCAAAGATCATCATGCATTATCGTGCTCGGATGTGGAAGCAACCGAAGTGGAGGATGAACTAAACAAATTGTCACAAGAGTCAACGGCAACGGCAACGGCAACGGCAGCGGACATGCCGATGCCAGTGCTAATCACGCCCACACGCGCACAGAGCCCGCCGCTCATAGCGAAGATCACGCCACCGCCAACCGAGGAGTGCAGGTGCAGCCAAGTGGGTAACAGGATCACACATTGCCTGCAGCACTCTGTCGAGCAGGAGATGAGAGAGCCAGCGATGGTCAAGGAGGTGCAAATCGAGTTGATTGAATCGCGTGCCGCCAACACGACGCCCACCATTAAGGTCCTGGAGCTGGAACTGCAACTGGAGCTGGAGCTGGAGCTGGCAAGCACTCCGGGTGCTGATCCCCTGCCCACGGGACAGAGCCAAGAGCCGCTAACAACAACCACCGAGGAGGCCGCGTTGGCTGACGATGAAACAATGGAAGCAGCAGCCCGGGCGCAGGTGCCCGATGCGGAGGCATCAGAGGCATTGCAAGATGAACTTTCACCCACCACCGACGAGTACCAGGAGGGACTGCAGTTTGGCAATGACAGCAAGGATGTTGTCGATGACTATGACAGCATAGATAGTGACATACAGTTGGGCTATATACCGCCGGCACCCACACCAGCGCCATCCATGGCACCGCTGGCCGAGCTGGACGTGGACACGATGGTGGACGATGAGCCAATGGATGAGCAGGAGCTGGAGCTGGAGCTGGAGCAGGCGCAGGAGCAGCAGGAGCTGGAGCCAATGGCAGTGGTAGCTCCAGTAGCACCAACATCCAGCAATGATGAGACACGCAAGCGACGCAAGAAACGTAATTCTGATGGGAAGAAGCACAGCAGCTCGCAGGATGAAAAGGATGCCAAGGATGCCAAGGATGCTGGCAAAGCGGATGTAAGCGGAAGTGGCAGTGGCAGTGGTGCTGGCATCGTCGTCGATACGGAACACAATGCGGTGTGCCCCTGGGAAGATGAGTTAGTATACGAAATGAGTTTAACACCTTAAGACAGCTCCCTCACTCACTCACTCACTCCCCTCACTCCCCCTCTTCCTTACCTCACTTCACAGGAACGTGAGCACTAGCGATGGAACCTTCGTGAAGACATATGCCACACTGGGGTACTTATGAATAAAACCAAATCTGTTCAAGACGGTCGTCAACAAGTTGCTGAAAAGGAAGCCGCACAAAAAATAAATTAAATTCTAGGAACTAGGCTTACAATTTTCCTTTTTGTGTACATAATGCATATGTATGTATGGTCCATGTGTGTGTGCCTGTGTGTGTGTGTGTGTATTATGTAATAATTGTTAATTGCTTCGGTCAGAGTTGAAAGTTTTTGTTTATTGCCTGAAAACTTTCAATAAACATACAAAAAAGATATAATTACATTTAAAATTATCTACATATGTATATGTACATATGTCTGTATATATGTATGTATCTGATTTATGCAGCAAACATTATCTTAATGTACAAACAAAAGTGCTATAACTAACTTAATATTCACTCACTTGATGACAAAAAGAAAGCGACAAAATGCAAATATAATTAATGAAAAAAAAAGATGCAAACGGCAAAAAATGATAACTGAAACATAAAAAACAGCATAAAAGTTCAATGAAAAAACTGCAAAAAGCAAATTGCTAAAGAGAAACGATAGAAAAAACCACGCCATAAATAAAATATATCAACATTTTAACCTAAACAATCATGCAGGCAGGCATACAAACAGTAAACGAGAGAAGGGAATACCCTTAACGAAACGAGCAACAAGCATTTTAGAAAGGGCTCAAAACAGACAGACAAGCCAGTTGTTAGAGCCACAAAATGAGCACAGAGTTGGTGTAACTAAATCGCCGTAATTAAAACAATTAACAAACTTTGTTGCATACAACAAACAAATACATAATTGCATGCATACCCTACATACATTTGTACATTACATTGAAAGCTGCAGTAAAACGAAGAGGACAGAAGCCCAAACACACCGATCGTTAGTAAGCGTAGTGTAGTGCCTTTTTGCCAAGACCTAAATAGGTGCATATGTATGTACATTATGTACTACTCGTTGCTTATATACCCAACCACTTATAGTGCTTTCTGTTGAAACAGACAAGACCTAGAACCGTCATAGACATTGAACTGAATTCAAAAACAATAAAACAAAACTATACATAAAATATCTACATATTTAGTTAAGTGTGCAACTGTGTATTTGTTTAAATGAATTAAATGAAATGTTTCATTTGACACACGGTCAAGAGCCCCACGAGTGTGCAGTGCAAAATGAAACAACAGCCAACAGACAGACAGACAGTCAACCAATCACGACACTTAGCCAATGACTAGTAAATAAATAAAAACAAAAACAATCACAATAAACGAGCTATACCCATGCCATGTATCCGTATCCATCATCACAGAGAACATCGTAATGGGGGGAATGTAGATTCAATATAATCAAATAAAAAATGAAATCCTGGTTGTTTTGCGGCTAATTAACTTTATAAAAAACAAAGTACACAATTGTATAACCGACACAAAACCAAAACAAAACTATTAAAATTAAAATCTAAGTACTTATATTTCTACTTTCATTGTGTGTGTGTGTGTGTGTGTGTGTGCATTGTGCATTAGCTACTATATTTAATGTACTTTACTGTACTGTACTCTGTACTGTCGAGGCCGCTTTGCTGGTAAACAATCTTTGTGTAAATTATCTGATATCTGAGCTAATCTATGCGTGAATTTTCAAAAGTTACTTCAATTAATTAACAACAACATAAAACACTACAAAAACACACATACACACACACACACACTACAACAAATTGTACACACACACAGAGTTGCATTCAGTAAATAATCTTAGGGTTGCATTTGTTGGACTTTTTTGCTGTGAAATGCATGCAAAGAAGATAGAAAAAAATCTATTCCACACAAAACTATAAAAAATGTGTGTATAGAAATAAATAAACAAAACAAAAACTAAAACTACAAAATAAAGACAAAGAGAAAAAAAAAACAAAAAAAAAAAAAAAAAAAAAAAAAAAAAAAAAAAAAAAAATGTAATTGTACGTTTTTTTTTGTAATAAAATTGTTGTAAGTAAGTAAAATTATGCCAAAAAAAATAAAAAATAACAAAATAGTTCATTAAGTGTTTACAAGCAAAACATTGAAATGCAAAAAAAAAAAACAAAGAACAGAACAGACAGAATATGAATTACTTTAAACCACACACAAGAAAAAGTTCCGAAAGTTTTGACTAGTACGACATATGGGTATATTAATTTGCATATATACTCGGTATACATATGCATGTATTTATGGTATGCTTACATTTCAAATCAACACAAAAAGCAAAGCATTCAGAAAATAAATAAAACACGCCAAATCCGAAATAATAGGCAGTCGAGACTTCACGACTTGAATATACCCGGTACTTGGAGCATTCATGTGCGAGACTGTACGACTTTATCCGATTTCAATTCCGATTTAGAACATCTACAAGACGACAGACAAACAAACGGACAACCCGCAGCAGATTGAAGAGAACACTCTTACCAGGTACAGGGTATAAATAATATGTATGATAAAAAATAAAAGCAGCTCCTGGAGCAGCCACACAAAGCGCCATTTTGATAAAAATAAAAGGAAGATAAAGAAAATTCGAAGATTTGACAACTAAATGTTTACAAAAACAAAAAATACAAACAGAATTATTGTAATTACTGTGTACTAAAAAAAAAAAAAAAAACCACTGGCAGTGGGTGGTGGTGTTGGTGGTTGGGTACCACGAAAGATTTACTTTAATTTCTGTGTAATTAGTGCTCATATCACTGATTTGTGGAGACAGGAATGGGAAAAAAAAAAACAAAACAAAACAAAAACCAAAACAATGTGCTTATAAGTTGCCAGAGCTTTTACTAGTAGACGCCATTTAAATTCTGATTCTGGGTTTAAAAAATATAAAATTAAAGAAGGAAAAATGCAAATAAAAGCAAACTAAACTAAAATAAAATAAAATACCATTGTGAAGAAGTGCAACCAAAATGTTTGTTATTTATTAATGATTCATGTCGTTCTATATATTGACAATGAGTGTGAAAAACAACAACAAAACTATACAAAATGATGTATAGCATACACAAATATATGTATGTACATATATATATATATATATATTGAATAATTGTTATAGCCAATTTAGTAAATATATTAAATGAACAGAAACGGAGCAGAACGCAGAAGAATAATTCATTGTTTGTCTATTTACTATGCCATTGAAAATATATTGTATGTAAGTCGATAAGTTTAAAACATCCAAATAAATGAAATTATACAATACATACATACTACATATATGTACATGCACATGTATGGTGGTATGGGCTGCATGCAGACGACATTATTTCAAATGTTTAAAACATGAAATATTTTGAGGAAAAATGATGCAAAAACCCCTGCAAAAAAACATTAGTCCGTAAACACAAATCAAATGTAAAACAATTTAATGTAGACTGTATTGAGAAAAAAAAAGAGGGAATATTTGATTGGTTTTTGGCTTGAATCGAATTTGGAACTTGCAATTTGAATTTGAATTTGAATTTGAATTTGGATTGATATCAACACAAAACAGCCCCCAAGCTCGAGCTAACAAAAAGAAAAAGAAAAAACTGTTTCGCGCGTAAGAAAGTGAAATTCAAGTTGAAAAAAAGGAAAATGGAAAATTATTTGCACAGTGCAGAAAAAAAAACGTGTTATAAAATTATTATATTATACATAAAAACAAATATATATATATATATATATTATATAAATATATTACTGAAACTATGCTGATGAAATTTAAGCCCGAGAAATGTAAAAGCCCAAAAATCGAAAAAAAAACCCAAAAACAAACAACAAAAAAAAACCACAAAAAACAAAACAAAAACGATTTAAATGAAGTACAATAAATATTCAAGTGAAGTTGAAGTGTTTTCATCTATTTTGTGTGTATGTTTAAATCCTGCTTAACAGTGCTCACGAGGATTAGAGACTGACACACACAGCCACGTGGGCAGGACCTTATTGTTACTCTTCTTATTTCGCAGTTCTCTCTCTCTCTCTCTCTATCTCTCTTTCTCTTTGTGTGTGTGTGTGTGTGTGCCAGATAATTCAAAAGTAATGAGGCGTCGAAAGTGAAGAAAGCACTGAAAAGGCCTGACTGTGTGCCATGTACATACATATATGTACGTATTAATGTATGTATTTATGTATGTATGTAATGGCCCTGTGCAAGTCGTTTTTTTTTTCAAAAATATACATAAATACAATGAGGCTACCGGAATGAGGACATCCGTGTTAGGATCCAACTAGCTAGCCGGCTTCTTCCTACTCCTCGCACTTTGTTGCCAGTACGCAGAAGCAACAACAAAACACGTAGAAACATGTTTTAAGTAGTCCTAGCTGCCGGTAGTAGGAGGTACTCCAGGATATCTGACTGCTTGCCCGTGTGCCTCCACCATCACGGGGTGACTGCACTCGCAGGTGAGGCCAAGTAACAAAGGCGCCAGTGCAGGGATTTGAAAGTCATCCACCCTTCCACCACCCAATACCCCCCACTCCTCATTCGTTCTATTGTCATTCTCTGTCTCTGTCTCTGTCTCTGCCCGGCTGTCCACCTGTCTCCATCTGTCTGCTTGTCCATTTGTCTGTTTGTGCATCTTAGTCTCAACTTTTTGCGTGGCGGCGACTCTGTCACATGTTACTTCCTAATTATTTAGATTCTTGGCAAAATCCTGTACAAGTGTTTGTTGCATTTTGCTGTATTTTTTTCCCTCTTACTTGGCACCTTGTGAGGCGCTGCCGTTGAGTGCTTGTGCTGCTTGCGCTGCTTCTAGAGCCCACACTGCTTGCACTGCTTTTACTGCTTGCTTGTGCTGCTACTGCAACTCTGCTTCTTATTGTTTCCTTGCTCCGTTTTGCTGCTTTGCTTGTAAGACGGCTGCGTGTCAGTGAGGCATCACGTGTGTCCGCCCTCCCCCCCACTGTCTTACACTCGCCATGACCACATCGCGTGATCGGGCATCAATAGCCGCTTATTAGCCAACCTTTGGCCCCCTTAACACCTCTGAGTAGCTGAGAAGAAAAAACTCCCCTTTGGGTTTGGGTTTTTCGAAAGGGTTTTCGCTTTAATTCACTTTAAT